TGGGTTGTAGCCCTCAACTGAATGAAAAAATCCCTCAGGTGTTCAGGGTAAGAGGATTTCCAGAAGATGGGGCAGATGCTTGCTGGCTGTTAATGAGCCTCAATTTGCATTTTTCTGGCCTGGCTATGTGGTGTTAAATTCCTGAGTGAGGGGCTGTGACTTCTCCCTGGGGCTCTGGGGCTCCTTGAGTAAGATGGCTACTGTCCTATGAGGGAGTGATTCAGCACAAAACTCCCAGTGCCCTCCAAATCTCAAGTCTCTCCACAGAGTTCCAATCCAGTCTTCCCTCCCTCTGCCGGAGTCCAAGGTGAGTGGCTGTAGCTAATTTAGTGCTCTGTCCTGGCCCTCTGCACTATGTAGCCAGCTTGGGACTTTAACCCTGAGGGAGCTGCTCATAGCTAAAACAGCTGCTGTTCATGGGTTCGCAGCCCACCCTCTCACACCTTCGCAGTTCCTACTGGGCTTGATTTAGTGTCCTTTTTCTGTCCCTGGTTATATGGGTCCTCTCCAGCTGCTGTTCTGTTGTTTTTTCCCCGACGATTTGTCTTTATTTTAGTTGTAATTCCAGTTTGGTCCTGGGAGATGGTCTGTGTAGCTTCCATTCACTCTGCCGCCATTTTGGAATCTCGAACCTGCATTCTTTTGGCGTACAGTATAATACTCCTACCAACTGAGTCGCACCAGCCAGGCCTAACCTATTCATTTTTTTGTTCATTTCATCCGTACTTCCAAAAAATAATTTAAGACATTATGACTCATTATATTGTTGGAAGAACCATAATTAGAGCCCTAGTCTGCATTTTTTTAAAGAACAATAACTGAAACAGCCATGAAAATCTTGAGGTAGCTAGTATTGTTGCTGATTATTTGATTTACTGTATATAGAAAAAGGTGCTTTTTTCCTTCTTTTTCTAAAGCAAAGTAGAAAAATCTGTGCTTCAAAGAACAGTCTAGAGTTGTTGTTATCATTAATGATAAAATAATATAAAACTGGATACTTAACTAGAACAGACCCTAATGTATCTCCATTTCCTAGTAGCAGAGTGTCATGGAATTCTGAGTAAAAGCTCTATAGTAATGAACTTTGTATAGAATCTTACTGTTTTTATCAGTTCTAACATAGTTAAGATCATTTGGAAATTGTGTATAGAAGTGGATTATGCTGTTAACACGGGGAGGGGAAAGCTTCACTCTTCATTCTATAAGTAGCTTGGGATTTAAAAGAATTTTTTTTCCCAATACCTTTCAATGGAAATAGGTTGTGAGTTCGTGTAAACACAAGACACCTTAGAATCTTCCAAAACAGCTGGATTTCAAAATTACTCTGAAACCTACATTTAAGAGGAAATAGAGAAGTTCAAGAGAACTGCCTAACGGCATATTCCTTAGTAGCATATTTCACTTAAAGCAAGCTTGTTTATCTAAAATATTTTGACAGGATCAGTGGATGAAGATTGAATAGGCTGAGAGAACTACACTGGGAAGAAGCACCTTCCCTGATAGACTGGCAAAGCCTAAATGTGAATGTGCAAGGTCGTTGTCTTGACTTGCCTTATCAGTGACCAGCGTATACAGGCTCAGCCTCTAGAATGTCAGCACGTGTACTTTAATAAACACTCTGAGTAGCTCCATATAAAGCAAATACTGTACAATGGAAGTAGCTAGGCCAGGATAAAAAAAATACAGAAACCTCGAGCAGTACAGGGTGTGCTTTGTTTGGTAAACTGAATTTTATATTAGTTATAAGAGGACATATGAACTACGATATGCTAAAGTAACTCATTCAGTCATTTAAATGATACAGGCACATGCCTTCACAGAACTAACAGGATTATAAGAATAAACGATTATGATAAAGCTAAAAATTTCAGCACTCTGTGTAACCTCTGTAGTCAGTGGAGATAGGAATAGAAATGCTGCTTTAATTCATATTTAGCAACATTTGGACTGACTCTTGCCAAATTTTTCCCATTTCTATTCATTTGGACTGTATTCCTCCTTTCTGTTTTCTTTCAACTGCATTCTACCCTTTCTTTACCCTTCTCCTCAACCCTCAGTCCTTCTTGGGCAACTTCATTTCAGGTTCTTTGCAGCTCACCATACTTAGGCTAATGACTCAGCTTTAACCTCTCTTTTCTAAGCTTAGATCCATATTTCCAACTATCTTGAACATTTTCATCTGAATATGCTGTTGACCCCTTGAATTCAGCAGATCTGATCTGAACTCATTTTATTTCTCAAACCTTTTACATCTATTATATCTGTTGGTTAATGACATGCAAGCTACCCAGTAGCCTAAGCCAGTCATGCTGTCATCCTTTTTCACTCTCAGCTCATCACAGCTGAGGAATCATTAAACTGTATAATTTCTGCCTTATTTCAAATTTGTTTTCTCTTCTCCAGTACCACTGCCATCATCTCAGTTCATATTTTTAACATTTATAAGACCTACAATGGTCTTCACTGCAGCTGGTTCTTGTTTTGCAGCTCACCCTTCACACTAGCCAGAGAAGTCCTTTATAAATGCCTGTTTGATTGTGTCACTCCTCTACTTAAAACTTTCAGTGGCTTCATATTGTTTGCAGTTGTTACAATCTCAAGTATCTACAAGGATTAAGCAAATAATGTATATGAGTGAAGTGGGCCAAATGTGAGACAATACGGAAGAATAGAAGAGTGCATTCCTGTCTAAAGAAATTCATTTTTCGCCCGGGCACGTCCCTCGGTTGCAGTTTGTCCCCGGCCCTGGTTGGGGTTGTGTGGGTGGCAACCAGTCAATGTGTCTCTCACATCGATGCCTCCCCCCCCCCCCCCACTCTATCTGAAGATAAATGCAAGAAAATGTCCTCGGGTGAGGATAAAAAAAAAGAAATTCATATTTAGAATGTTTAAAAATATTTGACAATCCTGTCTGAGAATCTGATGCTCTACTGAGTATGGCATATGCAATGTTTCTTTGATATCAGATATGTCTTTGAAATGAACAACTTGAAACTCTCAGCTGTTGCAGAGACTAATGTAACCAGTGAGTCATGTTTGTTTTTTTGTTTCTAGGTCATAACATATCAGAATAAAGAGTATGTGTTTATTATTATAAGTACTACTGTCTTCATATTGGAAGCCATGGAAATGAAGTTTATGGGCTTAGAGTCAGTACTGACCCAGGTTCACTTGCCAGTTCTGTCATATATTAGCTGTGTGATTTTGAGGTAGTCATTTAATGGCTTTGAGTCCCAATTTCCTCTTCTAATTAAAAAATAAATAAATAAAGACTTTCAAGATTGAGAGTACAATATCAGATAACCAACAGCTTTAAATTTCCCAGCTCAGTATATGGCACATAGTAACTCTTCAGTAAAAGAGAGCATCCAGACAGGTAGGAAAAATTTAAGAGGTAGCAATAAATACAAAAATCTAATTCCCCCAGCTGCATCCTTCTTAGCAATTGTATTTGTGACCTAAAGAAGAGCAAACAAGTTGGGGGCCATTATCAGGTGAGGCAGGCAATTGGAAGCAGACAGGCACATCATTTGTCCATGCAACTAAAAACTAGTTTACCAGCCTAGCTGGCTATCGAGCTGAAAGTGCAATTTAAGCCTAGAAGTTAAATTTGCTGTTGACAAATTCCTGAACAAGATGGAAATACAGACTTTCTACAACTATGCATAATGTACTAAGCCCTTTTTAACTTTTTTTGTCTACATATAATCTTTAAATTTTTTTCAGTAAAAGTTATATTAGCTAGAAATTTAATTCAGTACCATGAGGATACTTTATTTTGGTTTGTTCTCTACAGCTATATAAATTTGAAGCACCAAAGGAAGAAAGTAAACTACTTAGTTTTCTTTACCAGAACATTTAGCATGGTAAGGAAGGAGGATTGTTATATTTACATATTATTCTGATGCATAAGTATATTAATTATGTTTTCATTGATCTAGGAACAAAGTCTTAAAGAGCTTTCATCATTCACTTAAGGGAAAGAAAATATACCATCTTCTCAGGCTCTGCATTGCTTATTTTGTTTGTTTGGGTTTTTTTAGCTTAAATTTAACATTTGAGTATACTTTACTCAGTAATTTGTATACCCAACTGACATGGTTGAAATAGAGGGTGGAACAGCTAACAGTATGCTTTTCTGCCTTAACACAGAGCTATCATGATAATAAGTAAACTAGTATAGATAATAACCTATTGGCAGAATGACATGCACTGAATAGATTGTACCTAAAATGGAGAGACTAGGAAGAATAAATAAGTAAGCTAGCTTGTTTTGAAAAAGCAAGACGAAGACTTAGACTTTCAACTTCTTTGCAGCAGTATGTCTCACACCGGACAGAATTTCACGCACAGGCCAATGATACTAGATTTAAGTAACAGAGCAGCAACATTAATATACAGCTAAGAGGATGGTGTCTAAGAAAGCAAAGCAGAAGTATTTTTTTCTTTATTGATTTTAGGGAGAGAGGAAGGGAGAGGGAGAGAGAAATAGAAACATCGATGAGAGAGAACATAGATTGGCCGCCTCCTGCATGCCCCTCACTGGGGATTGGGCCCACAACCTGGGCATGTGCCCTGACTGGGAATTGAACTGGTAACCTTTTGGTGCATGGGTCGACACTCAACCAGTGAGCTACGCTGGCTGAGCCAAAGCAGAAGTATTTAAGAGAGTATTGAAACACTTGTCTAAGTGCTGTCTTTACTTAAAACCAAAATTCACTTTTGTGAATTTTGGTTTTAAGGAGTATTACAGAAGGGTTGATCTAGATAAAATTCACTTTTGTGAATTTTGGTTTTAAGGAGTATTACAGAAGGGTTGATCTAGATAAATACAGTTGTATTCTGTGACTTGATATTTTACATTTTAGTGTTTATCTGTTTTTCTTAATGGACTGATTTTTATTTTTGATCAATGCCATCTAAATATGTTTCTTCCCCCACCTCCACTCCCCTCCTTCTCCCTTCCCTCCTATCCTTCTTTTCTTCTTTTCTACTTGCAGCTCCTCAGAGAAATTTTGAAATTGCCTTCAAGATGTTCGACTTGAATGGAGATGGAGAAGTAGACATGGAGGAGTTTGAACAGGCAAGTTGTCCTGGAAAGTTCCTTTAAATGCATTTATATTTAACCCATTTTCATGTACCTTGGAGTTACTTTGGCCTTGGTCAGTATATTCAGATGCTATCTAATTTTTGAAGTACCTAATAAATCATTTTTTCAAAATTACTCACCTTTAACATGTATCTATCTGGCCCTGGCCTGTGGGGCTCAGTTGAGTGTCATCCCATGCACTGAGAGATCGCCAGTATGATTCCTGGTCAGGGCACATGCCCAGGTTTCGGGCTTGATGCCCAGTAAAGGGCATTTGGGAGGCAGCCAATCTATGTGTCTCTCTCACATCAATATTTTTTCTTTCTCTCCCTCCATTCCTTCCGCTTTATGTAAAAATCAATGGAAAAATATCCTTGGGTGAAGATTAAAAAAAAATGTACACAGTCTACCTAGAATTGGTATTCTACTACACATAAAATGTAGAAAATTTGCAACCACATACCATTTACCCCTTTTCCATTCTTTCTGCTGTCATTATGCTATGTATTACATCTGCATATAATAGTTCTCCTTTACCTGCAGGAGAAACATTCCAAGACCCCCAGTGGATGCCTGAGACTTTGGATAGTACCAAATTCTATCTATACTGTGATTTTTTTCTAAACATACATACATTTTGCAACCTCTCTTTGATATATCCAAATTGTCAGCATCACTACTCTGTGCTTTAAGGCCATTATTAAGTAAAATAAGGGTTTCTTGAATGTGAGCAATGATACCATGGCAGTTGATCTGATAAATGAGATGGCTACTAAGTGATTAACGGGGGAGGAGGGTGGTATATCGGATATAGTGTGGATACACTGGACAAAGGGATGAATCAAATCCCAAGTGGGATAGAGCAGGACAGCAAGAGATTTCATCGTACTACCCAGAATGGCATGAAATTTAAAATTTATGAATTGTTTATTTCTGGAATTTTTCACTTAATGTTTTTGGCCCATGATTGACTAAGGGAAACCAAAACCACAGAAAACAAAATCACAGATAAGGGGGACTACTATACATTATAAATCCTATAATACATTATAATTTTTGTTTTTTAAGAAAATAAAGGGAAAAATAGTCTATTATGTTTACTCACATATTTACTATTTCTGATGCCTATTATTCCTTCCTGAATATCCTAGTTTCCATCTGGTAGTATTTCCCTCCAATTGGAAAAACTATTTTTGTCATTTTTTCTAGTGCACATTTGTTGGTGATAAATTAATTTATATCAGCCCTGGCCGGTTTGGCTCAGTTGTTAGAGCATCGGCCTGCGGTCCAGAGAGACCCGGGATTGGTTCCCGCTAAGGGAGTGTACCTCAGTTTCAGTTTGTCCCCGGCCGTGGTTGGGTTGTGCGGGTGGCAGCCACTTGATGTATCCCTTTCACATTGATGTTTCTCTCTCTCTCTCTCCCTCCCACTATATCTGAACAAAAAAAATTTTTTTTTTAATTTATATCATTACTTTTGGAAGGGAGTTCTAGATATAGAGTTGTAGATATAGATGTAAAATTCTCTATTATTGTTTCACTACTTCTGATTCCTTCTGATGAATAGTCACTGGTTATTTAAACCATTTTGCCCCTATTTGTATTATGTTGTTTTTTCTCTCTCTGCTTTTCAGAGTTATCTCTTTATCGTTTTCTAGAAATTTGATTATGATGTATCTCACAGTGGTTTTCTTTATATTTATACTTCTTGGTATTTGATGAGTTACATGTATCTATAAATTCATTTATTTTTTTATCAAATTTGAGAATTTTCTGGACATTATTATTATTATTTTTTTAATCTTTTTTGTTCAGCCCTGTTTTCTCTCATCTTTCTTTCTGGGGCTCCAGTAACACAGATATTAGACCACTGCCAGACAAATCTCTGAAGCTCTCTCTGTTACTTTTTCAATCTTTTCTCTCTGCTTCTCAGACTGTGTAATTTCTATTGATTTATCTTCATGTTACCTGACTCTTTAGTCTTGGCATCTCTGTTGCTAAACAATCCAATAAATTGTTATTTCAGATGTTGCATTTTTAGTTCTAGAACTCCCATTTTATTCATTTAATTTTCTTACTCATCTGAAATGTTCCATTTTTTCCTACTATAAGCAAATTTTATATACTTAAATACTGTTATAGTAACTGCTTTAATATCCTTGTCTGCTAATTTTCAGCATCTTTGTCATCTAGACATTGATCTCTGTTTATTGCCTTTTCTATTAAGAATGAGCCAAATTTTTCTATTTCCTCATATGTCAGGTAATTTTGGATTGTAGTCTGGTTATTATTAATGCCATGTTATAGACTCTGGATTTGGTTATATTCATCTAAAGAGTATTATTACTCTAAAGAGATTATATTCATCTAAAGAGTGTTTTGAATTCCAAAATGGCGGTGGAGTGAATGGAAGCTACACAGACCGTCTCCCAGGACCAAACTGGAAATACAACTAAAATAAAGACAAATTGTCAGGAAAAAGCAATAGAAAAGCAGCTTGCAAGGATCATATAACCAGGAACACTGACTTGATCCTGGTAGGATTGTGGAGGCATGAGAGGGGGGCTGGGAGCCCACAGACAGCAGCGTCCTTAGCTGTGAGCAGTGCCCTCGGGTTAAACTCCCACACTGCTCCATAGCCCAGAGCCGGGACAGATGCTAAAATAGCCACAGCCACTCACCTTGGGCTCCGGCAGAGGGAGGGGGGACTGCATGGGAATCATGTGGGGACACTCAGGACTTGGAGGGCACTCAGAGCTTCTGATGAGTTGCAGCCACGCAGTATGGTGGCCATCTAACTCCTTCCCAGGGCTGGGGAGAGGCAGCGGCCCCTCCCTCGAAGATTCAACACCCCCTCCAGGTGGTCCATTGAAGTGCAAATTGAGGCTCATTGACAACCAGCATCTGCCCCACCCTTGGGAAATCCCCTTAGGCTGAGCACCTTAGGGCGTTTTTCATTCAACTGAGAACCCAAGGCTGTTCAAATAACCGCTACTGATAGCCTCCAGCCAAAAAGCTAGAGGATAACTGAACCATTCCTGGGCTAGCAACTCTAACCAGGAAAGTAAGACTTGACAGTGGTGTTTAACGTTGGTCCTCCTTCGCTCATCCAAACCAAGGAGAGGAAGCCACAAACAGCAGAACACCAACACCCACAGGGCAGATTTGGCAGGCTCCAAAGCCCACTGTGATAGCCAGAATGGTGAAACAAAGAAACAAAAGCCAAATGACAGAACAAGAGACCTCTACCGAAGATGAGATAAATGTGGAGCAGTTAAGCAAGTTAACAGCTAGAATTCCGAGCCATGATCTTGAGGAAGCTCAACAGCATGAGTAAGGACATCAACATCATGAGTAAAGACATAGAAATGTTGAAAATCAACCAATTGGAAATTAAAAACCACCAAGAAGAAATGAAGAATGACATATCAGAAATAAAGAACACACTGGAAGGTCTAAACAGCGGAGTAGAGGAAGCTGAGAACCGGATCAGTGAATTAGAAGACAAGGTAGAAAAAATCAACCAATCAGAAAACCAAAAGGAAAAAAAAAAACAATTAAAAAACAGGAAGACACCTTAAGAGAACTGTGGGACAACTGGAAACGTAATAACATTCGCATCATAGGAATCCCCGAAGAGGAAGAAAATGGGCAAGAATTAGAGACTATATTTGAATAAATAGTGACAGAAAACTTCCCTAATTTGGTGAAGAAGGCATTCAAGTTCAAGAAGCACAGAGAGCCCCAAGTAAGAAGAACCGAAACAGGCCCACACAAAGACACGTAGTCATTAAAATGCCAAAAATTAAAGACAAAGAGAGAATCCTAGAGACAGCAAGAGATAAGCAACAGGTTACCTACAAAGGAAACCCATAAGGCTCTCAGCTGACTTCTCAACAGAAACAATACAGGCCAGAAGGGAGTGGCATGAAGAAATCAAGGTCATGAAAAACAAGGATCTGAATCCAAGACTACTCTATCCAGCAAGGCTGTCATTCAAAATAGAAGGTCAAATAAAGAGCTTTCCAGACCAAAAAAGGCTAAGGGAATATATTAACACCAAACCAGCACTGCAAGATATGCCAAAAGGACTGCTGTCATTAGTAGGAGAAACGGGAAGAAAAATAGAACCACACTAAACAAAAATGGCAATAAATAACTACATATCAATTATCACCTTAAATGTGAATGGTTTGAATGCTCCGATAAAAAGACACAAAGTAGCTGACTGGATAAAAAAGCATGACTCACATATATATTGTTTATAAGAGACCCACCTCACAAGAAAAGACTCACATAGGTTGAAAGTGAAGGGATGGAAAAAAAATCTTTCAAGGAAACAGAAAGCAAAAAAAAAAAAGCTGGGGTAGCAATACTCATATCTGATCAAATAGATTTCAAAATGAAGGCCATAACTAGAGACAAAGAAGCCACTACATAATATTGAAAGGATCTATTCAACGGGAAAATATAACCTTGATAAACATATATGCACCCAATATAGGAGCACCAAAATATATTTAAAATCTTCTGGAGGACTTCAAAGGAGAAATCAACAGCAATACAATTATAGCAGGGGACTTCAGCACCCCGCTGACATCACTGGATAGATCCTCTAGACAAAAAATTAGCAAGGAAACAGAGACTCTAAATGAAGCACTAGACCAAATGGATTTAAAAGATATCTAAAGAGAATTACACCCCAAAACTAGAGAATTCACATTCTTCTCAAGTGCACATGGGACATTCTCAAAGATAGACCACATTTTAGGACACAAACTAAATCTCTACAAGTTCAAGAAGATTGAAATCATATCAAGCATTTTCTCAGATTACAATGGCATGAAACTAGAAATCAATTGCAACAAAAACATGCAAAGACATTTGAATACATGGAGGCTAAATAGCATGTTATTAGACAATGAATGGTTTACGGAGGAGATCAAGGAAGAAATTAAAAACTTTCTGGAAACCAATGAAAATGAACACACAACA